TTTTAAGAACATTTAATTGATGCATAAATATTTCTGATATCTTTGATGTGGAAATCTATTTCACCATTTGCTTGAGATTGAAAAAAGCAGTTTTAAGTAGTCTATCAAATGTAACAGAGGCCTATAATTTGAAGTCACTTTTGTTAATATCTTTAGATAGCAATAAAGAGTGCTTTGAAGCTTTCCCTTTATATAGGTGGAAAACACCTTTGACTGTCAGTTGTGTTAATGGAGAGAAAATTTCTAATTGTTCTCAACCCTGCCAAAATGTTGTGTTTTTTGTTTTTGAGATTTTCTTTAAAGATACAAGAACCATCATGTTTCTAGCACATACGTAATTAATTTTTAAGAGCAAGTTTAATTAACTGGTTTTATTGAAGTCCAAATTTCAGTGAACATATCTGTGTAGTATTTATAGTCGAGTTTCAATCTCCCACATAATTAACAATTAGGGTCACTGTTAATTACAATGACTTGAAACCTAAAACTTATTTTAGAAAGCATGTCCTGAACATAATGGTAGTTACTGAAGAGTCACTGTTGAATAAAGCCCAAAGATGCCGGATATTTCTTTCATGGCATGCCACAGACCTGCAAAACAGTGTCTCATAGGAAGGTGATTTCATTGTCCAAAGATGCTCACAGTCTTAAGGAGGAAAGACAAAAAAAACCAAAACCCAAAAAACAAAACAAAAGAAAAAAACCCAAAAAACAAAACAAAACAAAACAACCCAAAAAACCCACCACACACACACAAAAAAAAAAAACCAAAAACCCACCAAACAACCAAAAAAAAAAAAAACCCACCCCCCCCCCCCAAAAAAAACCCCAAAAAAAAAGCAAAAAACCAAAAAAACCCAGAGGGGATTTTAATGTCTATCAGCTAGAATGAGCAATGGAAAAACTGGAGCTTTTGCTACTTCCCTCTTTGTTTAAAAAATAACAACTAGGAAATGGGTCATCCTGGAAGAAGTAATGAAAGAGGAGCATATGAGCACAAAGAGACAGGAATGTTTAAGACAAAGTCCTGGATAACACTACACTGGGGCTCTGCAGAACAGCACTAAAGGCCAGGCATGATAAAAGTAGCACTAAGCATGAGTGTAGCCAGAGCTATGCAGCACAGGCAAGGTAAAACCTCAATTCTGACTATCAAAGACAGATCTTAATCAAATTGTATTACCAAGGAAGTGGGAAAAAAAAAGGAAAGGAAGAAGAAAAGAAGTTCAGCAACCTTAAATATTATGTACCTTTAGGGACAGATTCCTTACAGCACTAAATACCCATAAGACTTCATGAATCTAAATTACAGATGTAAAACTCAAAGGAGATGACTTTCTCCAAAGACAAACATCTAGCAAACTTTCCAGATTATTGAAATAGCTATGAGCACATCCACAACTATACTGAGGCAGACACAGAAATTATCCTGATGTAGTAAAACAAGTCACATTCTTGACGAAAAATTTCAGCTAACAGGCTATCATAACTCAAGGTAAGGAAACCAAAGTTCCATGCCTTTCCCTCAAATTTAAAACAATCTTTGTAAGAGGAAGGCACACAATGCACATTTTCTTTAATTAATTGTTAAATGTGATTAAATATCTCTAATGAAGTGCTTTATACATAACACATAAGTGGATCCATGTCTTGCACCTGCTTTGTAGCACTTATTTTGCTAATTACTAGCTGACAAATAGTAATTTGCTAATTACTATTGTTTTGCTAAATTACCATTTGACTATTTTCTAGCAATTCTAACCATGCTCTTGACAAAACTATCTCTTGCCCAGCACTGCATAGAATCGATTGGAAAGCAGTAGATGCTGTTAACCTTGAATTTGGGAAGACTTTCAGCACTGTCCCCCATAACATTGTAACAGATGAAGAGCTCAAATGTGCACTGTGTAAAACAGACAGTGCAGTAGACTGGATGTTGGCTGAGCTGGAGAGTTTAGAGGTTTGTAACCACTCACATGAAATCTAACTGGAAACTTTAGACCAGTGGAGCACTCCACAGGTCAGTGTCAGAGTCCACACTTGAACTTCTCCATTAATGACCCGGATGATAGGACTGAGTGCACCCTCAATGAATTTGCAGATGATAAAAATCTGGGAGGAGGGACATGCTGCATTCAGAGGCACCTTAACAGGCCACACAAATGGGCCAACAAGAACCTCTTGAAGTTCAACAATGGGGAAATGTCAAGCCCTGAACTAGGGGAGAAATAGAGATTTTTTAAATTAAAAATCCTTTCTTGTGAGAACAGTCAAATATTGTAATAGGTTGTCCAGAGATGTTTTGGAGTTTCCATCCTTAGGGATATTCAAAACCCAAATGGACAGTCATGAGCTCTGAGAGAATCCACTTTAAGGAGGAGGGTTGGGCTCCATGGTCAATAATATCATGATCTTGTCTTTACTCATCTCACATAAAGAATAATCTGTCTTTGAGAAAGATACTGAAGCGCTCTATCAGATGATTAAACAATTAATTACTTCATTTAGAGCAAACTGTTTGGGAACAAAGGCAGTCTTGCCTCAGCATCCATGAGCTAACTGATCTTGAAGGATGTGGGGAAATAGCAGAATAAATAGTAGAATAAGACTGGGGCTTCATTAAAGCCTATAAACCTGTGAAATTATGCACTTCAAGAAAAGCCAAAACACACAATACATCATGGTATACCGAACTTATTTGTCAAAATGAACACACATATTTAAAAGCCATAGCACTGAATATTACTTTTATTTCAAGTATTATTTTACTAAGTCACATACAGCTAATTCTGGGATGTATCTGGATATGAAAAGATTTAAAAGTCAAGAAAGATCTGCTGTATTACTGCTACTGCCCATATAGCACATAGATGGAAACAATTTTTTTCCACTGTTTCCTACCTCAGGCAAAACTGAGACAACTGAACTGTCCTTTATAAAGAAAGGGCTGAATATATTCAGGCTACTACACTGCCCATACTATAAGATATCATCTACCACCTTACCAAACTATTAGAGCATGCACATACACCTCTAGTTACATGGTTAAATATATTGCTAACAGAGGTTTATGCATGTAAATGGGAATTCTGCATTTTGCTTTAAGATGCGCAGAGCAGAAGCTGACAGAACTGAAGTGTCAATATAACCTTCAGGAATATGTAACCATTTGCTGGATCTTTAGCACAGGCAATTGTTAACAATGCGACATCCAAATTAACATAAGTACAAAATGAAAATATATTTTGCATATAAAACCAACACAGAAAATAAAGGTTCAGTCCTTTCAGCATAATCAATAAATCAATAGATGTATTTAAGTACAGATTTTCTATTATTCAAAAGCAAAATTTAACTGACATTTAGGCACTATGAACACCAGCACTTACCTTTGCAGTTTATAAACAACGGGGAATGATGAAACAGATGAGTAAATCCTTTTCATGTTTCACTGAAAACAAGTCTACCACAGTAGAACAACTTGGAGGCCCACAAAATGACAGAGAAGTAATCCACAATTTTAAAATATTTTCTTCTTTTCTTTCTTTTCTTATTTTCTTATCTACTTCAATTATGGCCCATTAGTATTTTTACGGTTGCCTTCCCTTAAAAATCTTTCTGTTCTCATGGTTTCTTCTTTAATACATTTTCTTTTTTACTATGCTTCCCTTGCATAAATACTATCATGGACCTGTGGATCAGCTTGGAAATGTCAGTCAGTTTTGGAAACAAAAACACTGAGAGTGTTCATGAACAGCTGTAACAAACCCCTGTGTTCGCTCATACTATTTAGGAAGTCTCCATCAACATTTTTATCTATGCTTCTGCATAAACTGAAATTCAAGAAAATTAAATTCCTTCGTTTGAGCAATACTAGGAATAGCCATGTAAAAAACCTTAAATGTATGTGTTAATGTTCTTTAAAGGGTTAGCCCACTTAATTTTAAGCATTCACAATGTGTAAGCATATGAGTTGGCATATATGTCTCTGTAAGATTTACACACTTTGGAAATAACATGCATCCAATTCAGCAACAGATGAATATTATTATGGCTTCAAGTTCTTTTGTTTAGGTAAAATACTGAAGTTAATTGGTGTATGGCCATTTGCATTGTGCATTACTGACTAAGAGTGATTCTGAGACCAGTGGTCAATCTTTTAGACCATGCTAAGGACCATTTCCCCAGCTGCTCAGAAAAAGTAATCATAACTTCATTTGCAAAAAAAACCTGTCTGCCTTTAGGAGATAATTCTATATAATTATAGAGATTATTCCTATCTTTACAATCTACATTTTAAATCTCTATAACCTGTTTTTATTTCATTATATATTCCACCCTCCTTCTCGAATTCTTTTTACTCTTCTTAAGGATACAAAACAAAAACACTTCAAAATTAAGGTGCCAATTTTCTGTCTTATTTTACAGGTGCCCAGAAAAACAGAAAATAGCATGAAATTATAGACTTTATTATTAAATACTGTGATTAGCAATGAACCAGGTAAGCATCACAAATATACATAATTGCATTGCTTACCTTTTTCTCAAAATCTTTCAATACAAAATATATTTAGGAAAAAATCTAAAAATAGATTAAAAACGACTGCAAATAGACTATCAAGCACTATGGTTCTATATTAGTATATATGCCTTTAAATTCTATTCTTTTTGAGTGTTCATGTTTAAGATACTTTAGTAAGAATTAAAATATTATCAAAATACTGAATTTTTTTAAAAAGCTGGCAATCTCATCCATCTCTACAAACTTACAGCATTAATACATAGTTGTACAGCTTAAAGAAAAAGAAAGTATTACAAAGAAACATGCATCAGCACCAGACTGTATCACACTGCACTTAATAAACACTATCACATACAACAAAATTGGGTTTGTCCCTGAAAGAGCTGCACAGTAAAATTTTCAAAGGCAGAAAACAAAAAAATCCTCATAGAAGCTATTACTCCTTCCCTACAAAGAGTGAAGAAATAAAGAAACTTACCACTTTCAGCAGTGAAAGAATACAGAGGATTCAGTGGAATACTCAGAGTACCCGGTAGTCTTAGCTTGGAGTGTGGTGACAGAGATGATGGTGCAGGAAGCAAGAGATTTGAGTTTGCCTGTAACAGGAAGACAAATCACAAAGTGAAGTGTAATTTCCTGGGTGACTTACTGATGCAACAGCTAGAATAGAAATACTTGCTTTCTGTAAATAACTATTAAATTCCAGGAAAAAAATAAGAAGTGAAGATGACTAGCAACTTCAATATTTATTTTTTTCTTAGTATTTGGAGATACGACTTGGAAAAATTACTGGCATAGCTATAAACTGAATTGTATGTTCATATATGGACACTAACTCTCAAGCACTGCAAACAATGAAACAGAATTATTTGAACCAGCATTTTCTTGGATCTTTGTGCATGAAAATAAAAATACATGTACATATGTTCGTAAACATATACATGTGAAATAATTTCTCAATTTTGAGTACTCAAACTACACTACATCCACGAAGAGATACTCACCACTATAGGAAAAAAAACCTTAAACTAATCCTAGCACAGAATTGATTTCTGCAAAGCAAAATCACCAAAATCTCAGACACTTCCTATATGTAAATGACACATAATATAATTCCAGTCCTAATTTCCATAGTAACAAAGATAATGTAGTTAAAAATCTCTTTTCCTATGGACTTTCTTGAAATATATCCAATTATTACAAAGCAAAAGCCCTTCCCAAATGTTACTCTTTTCATATTATCCAATACAGTCTATGAAAAAAATTCAATGATCTTAAGTTTTTGAGAATTTTACTGTTTTTCAAATCTATTTTCACTGCCTTAACACACCACAGCCAAAGCAGAAGAAAAGTAGGCCTTAAATAACATACTTGTAACTTTCTTCAAGCAAGATATTCATATGCTAAAATTCTTGAGAGTTATTTACATAAGAACATAATTCTTGACCCTTTCAAAAGTCAAGCCTATTGCATCACATTGAATAAAAGCATATGGTTACTTAATCCAACTAAAAGCTTCCAGTCAGTGCAGCATTGCTTTTGGCTTCAGTAAACTCTAGATCAGAACCTTAAACTTCAATTGTGGGCCAGTGATATTTTGCAAATTTTCAAACTACTGGCTTGTAAATTCTGTTTAAAGAAAGGAGACAATCACCAATTCACTTTGTTTAATGATCTCAAAGGTGCTGTATTTTATGTAACTATTATTACTGTAATTCAATAAATATTATTCAATTCAATAATGCATAATATTTGGGCATTGGCAAGTGTACTGGAATGCAGGTAATATAGCAGTAAAAAATGCATGTTGAATTACTTGACTAGGCCAGAGGGTATCTGCCACCATCTCCTCTGCACCACTACACCTGACCTTCATCTTTATGTGTCTGGTTTTTTTTGTGCAGGAATATGGATTTAATTCTAAGGAGGAAAGTTTATAGTAAAAATTATCTTTGACTAACAATGAATATGCAGCAAAAGTGCACAATTGTAATGGCTATACTCTAAAGCTGACAGAAAGAAAAGCAGGATAGAAAATCAGATTAATCATTGAACATGATTTTTAAAAAAGCATTAAACCTGTTACATTTTATTACAGCGTACAAATTTAAATGAACGCTTGTAAACAGTAGCTGGAAAATGTTATCAGAATGGAGGCCTGTTTTTCTGAACAACTGGAACAACAAAACCCATCGCTTTTCTTACATTTATATATGCAAGCAAGTAAGCTTCATTAATATAAAGTTTTCTCTGATACAAAATCGGTGGAAAACAATTAGGCTTACTTATTTACTCAAACACAGAAAAAATAATCTGTTCTACAAACTTTTTGAGCTCAGCTTCCCAGTGTTTCATCTTTAATCCACTGTAAACTCTAGGGAGAGCCTTTTTCCCTAGATAATTGAGAAGATCGCCCCTTTGCATGAATTTCTTGCTAAGTGCACACTACACCATAAGACAAACGGAGGCTTTCCAGTCAAATACTTTACTGGAAGGTTCTTTCAAATTTGCTATCAAAAATTAGGTTTCAGATAATACCAGGAAATGAAGACAGGTTGAATATACTGGCCTTTGAAAACCAAACTAAAAAGGACAGAGCAAACTATGGAAAACTAAGACTTAATAGATGCCTCCTCAGTTCATCCTGGAAGGAAGAATTATGAAGCTAAGCTTCTCTTGATTCTGGTCCTTGAGTAAATTATATAAGTGATATGGAACTCTATGTAAATTATTCCTGTACAGTACTTAATTCACTTCTCTTTATCTTCCTGCTGTATTATGAAAACACTCTCACTACACATGAGAGTACAGCACACTTTGAAATCAAATGCAACAAGACACACACAAGAGAAGACTGAACGTGCAGTCCTGAGGATTTAAGAAAATCACTCATTCTAAAATGTGGCATAAGTTCTCTTAGAATACTTCCTTCCTGTCCAAGACCTTAAAAGCAAGATAAAAACCTTTTTAATAAGAGATATTAAACATGAAGTTTTAAGTCTAAGAAGTCTTACAAGAAGTTTCATTCCTCTTCTTTGCAGTGAAGCTGAATTCAGGTGAACTATAAAAAATTGCCCATCCAAAGTAGAAACAAAACCAGAGTTTTAATGACCTTTCTGCCACTAGCTCTTAAGCATTATTTAAATCTCCAAGAGGTCCAAGGAGGGAAAAAAGGTACAACATTGTAACAGAAATGGGTAGCACTCAGCTAAGAAGTGAGGAATAGTGATTCAAGCACAACTGTTTCCAGGTGAAGTACACTATTCAATGAAAAAGAATTAATTCTCCTACAACAGGCAGACATAAGACTACCAACAGAACAAAATGAAGCAATCATTTTTTTTGAAATGCACGCTGTGGGAAATTATTGCTAAATACCTTTACAACAACGACCAAAGTTGGCTAAGATAGCCAACCATGAATTCACTTATTTTTCACAACAGGCTCTGCTTTCTTCATGCATAAACCACAGCATGATCAAAGACACAGTTTACTACTATTGTGAATTGAATAAAACTAAGAGTTAAAATATTCTTATTGTTTCCATCACAATAAGGATACCTACATTATTTTTGCCAGGCTTAAACAAAGATGGATTTGCATTTTCTTTTTTGTGTTAAGGCAGCTCTATGCAAATTATGCAAATACATATTTTCAGTGAAACTAGTTTTCACATAAAAAGTGAATTGCATGAGACAAAAAAATAGAATGCTCTAAGACTTGACAAGGTGGCAAAAGCAATTTCTCTTTTCCTAAGAATGCAATTTTATGACCTTTGCAATCAATACAATCAACATTTCTACATATACTTGCAAGCCAAATCACGTTGGTCAGCTCTATATTACTTCTGAATCTCTTAATTTCATGTTTCTCTTGTGAAAGCTTGTCTCTAGGACACTGCTTTTAAAGACAGATTTAAAACATTATTAAGACATTATTCTTCAGAATTTAAAAGCTGAATCTGAAATAAAAATCCCCCACAACATTATCTGATATTTTTCTCAAAGTAAGAAGAAAATACATAGGCAATAATGCTTAAAGTATGTATGGCACTACAGCTTTTAAATCTGCAATCTAAGTTTGAATCAAGTTTACATCTATGTAAAAGTACAATCATTTCTTTGACAGCAGCACTAAAAAGACTCAAACGAAAGCCAGGATTCTATTGTGGTAGGGTCCTGCAATCACTTAGAGATAATCTAGTATGCTTTTACATAGCTCTACACTAAGTAGAAAAGCCAAACACAGCTAAAATGAGATATTATCCACACACACAGGCAAAACTGAAACACATTTACTTTGCTTGTCTCAAGCAAGTATGTTCACCTGACGCTTCCTACAGTTCTCTTACTCGCCTATACAGCAATATGGTTTCATTATAACTTTAGTGCTCAACTGTTATTCCCTATAGAAGCCCAGAAGTGACCAAGACATACAAATGAAAATTGACACTAACAGGGGCTTGATCCAACAGTTCAGCCATTGTCTACAGATGCTAAAACTCATTACAAAATAATTATGTATATTTAGTTCCTTAGATCTGCCAGAGTCCTGGCATTTCAATTACACATTACCTCAAATGCTTTCTTCTTCTTTTTTTTTTTTGTCTTTAAAAATAAATGTTAAGTTGAAATGAAGATTGCTATAAACACTTGGAATAGTAAGCTTCTTTCATTTAGCTACAAGGAACACTAAATTCTTTGCTCAGGACACAAAACAGTTAAATACAGGCTCAGTTATACACAGGACTTAGCCATTACACACAAAGAGAACGATTGGATTGGATAAAATTGGCATTTCAGTTTAAGAACATGCCTAGATAAACACATTCTAGCAGAAATGGGCAATGTCACCACTAATAACAGTAAGAAGTAGATCTGTCTTTAGTAAGAGCCAAGTAGATTACTATATAAACTGTGACCTCATGTTACAATTAGTGCTACCAACAAACATATGACTGGGGGAAAAAATCCATTACTTCAGTAGTTAATTTTAAAATGGCTTATTTTTTGTGCAAATGAAAGATGGATGTAACCTGTTCCCCATAAAAAATACACCCAAAGATATTTTTCATAATAGAGAAGTAAGAGGAAAAGTAAGACACCAGAAAATCTTCTAACTCATATTTTGTCAACTCCACATACAAACTTATTCTTTTGTACCTGCTGGTAAAGGACATTAGGACATTATGACTCTAAAAAGAGTAAAGAGCTTCAGGTAATCAGGTAACCACTCGGAGGTGTTTAAACCCACCCCACACACGCCACACACTGCCCCCAGCCCACCATGTATTTGGTTATACTCTAGGCTTAATCTTGTGTATCATTCTTGAACTCTCAGCTACAGTCTCTTCATATTTGAGCCATGGTCCATTTCCTTTCTGCACCCAACAAAGAATGATTGAGTCGGCAAAGACCTCCAAGATCATCGAGTCCAGCCTTTGAACAAACACCACCTTGTCAGCTAAACCACAGCACTAAGTGCCAAATCCAGACATTTCCTGAACATTTCAAGGAATCATGACTCCACCACCTGTCTGGACAGACAGTTCTAATGCTTAACCACCCTTCCAGTGGAGAAATTCTTTCTGATTTCC